CCCAATGTGCTTGCAGTGCAAACTCACAGAGTATGAATATATAGATGGACAAGCATTCAAAGGATGCTACTCACTTAAAATCATGATATAAGATAGCGTTCAATAGTGAGTCAGTAGAAAAACCCCATCAGTGAAATGTGAATTGGGAATTCCAATGACGGTGTGAAATTTTGCTCAGCTTTTCACAAAATAGAGGTATTTCAGTTTTTCTCATTAGGTTTCCTGTTGGAGAAATTTAGGAGAACATTTGCAGTATACATAATGGCAAACCTTCCAAGCAAACTACTCACTTATCCAAGAGGAAATCATACAGATCCATTAGGGCTAAGGTCCAACTATACCTGCATTACTTCATTTAAGAAAAATGCAAATACATTGAATAAAAAAAGAATACTGTAAAGAAAACAGGCATAGAGAAATAGAGAGTTTGATGTGTAGAAGTGCATAAACTGATGCCTTAGGCATCTCAGAGATGAAGCAACTGTTCTGAGGAGAGATTAGGAAGAAGATCACAAAGCCCTGGGTGTGTTGCCAAAAAGTTTGCAGAGTTAAACTCTGGGCTGAAGAGTATATACCCAAAGTTACAGAGAAAGGTTTTTAGAGAGAAATGCAGTGACAAAAGGGCAATGTATTTGGCAACACATCTGTCTGTGGGCAGAAAGTAAGATATAAGGACAAACAATTGAAGAAAATAGTATTAAAGTAAAGGGCACAAATAATTTCCTTTGACACTTTTCTTCTTTCTCATATTTCCTTATCTCTTACCTAAATGAGGGAAACATTCTGGAGCAGATGCCAGATGTAACGAGCTGTAACATGCAAAGTTGAGTTTCTTTATTGTGCCTCTTGGAGAAATCTACAGTCCAAGAACTACAACCTAGGCAGCAGGCTGATACTGCTCTGAGAGCTTTGTTGAATGAGAAGATAATATATTTGTCATTCAGTATGAATGCCAATACCTACCACTGTCTGTGATGCTTAAATATCCTTCAAGGACCACTACTGAATTCTGATGACGTTAGCTTATGTGTCAAAACTGGGCTAGAAAAGGGATTTTAGCAGCATTCCTCCATTTATGAAAATACCTAGGCAGAAATACGTATGTATAATTCTCTGAAAAATATATGCTACATGTTGTCCTACATGGATCAAAGTTTCTTAAACATTTAAGATGACTTATGGCTGAACCTATTCTCAGTTTGTTACAATAATACTACAAATTCCATTACATCTTCTCTTAGTCTAAATTATTGCAATTATTAGAGGAAGTAATATTGTTTTGTGCAAATGCAGCTATCAAAAGTCAGTCAGGATCAAGAGAGACTGCATCCATGCCAGTAAATTAAATGTGCCAGTAACTACTCTTTGTCACCAAGGCAAGTGATCATGGATCAGTCAGAATCCATGGCCTTAAACAAACGGCCTGCCTATTGGAAATGAGCCTATGTCTATGCAAACTCCTGAACCATTCCAGGAATTATTTAGAGGAGCACAGGTAGCATAAGAATCCCTACAAGCAGCAGTTTCATTTACAAATAAAGATGCAGCCTCTTATGCTGGACCAATTAAAAAAAAAAAATGGAAGGCACGATTCCTGACCTAATTAATCTGTAACGCAATTTGAAGTTAATCCTAAGTGAATGTGATAAATAGGAAGAAGAGAGAACTTAACGCTGTAATTAAGATATGGCAACATGAATATGCAAGCTGTAAAACTTGATTGTTACACAAAGGTCTGGATTCTTGTCAGGGAGACAAGAAGGACAGGAAAGAGTCAGTCATCAGATTTCTGATGCAAAATTTAGTAATCACTGGCTGACCAATTTAGTCCACCATAAGGTGGACTAAAAGAAACAAGTTTAAGAAAAATATGAATCCAAGAAGAATACAGTGTGCTTCAGGATTGTAATGGAAGAAAGTATAAAAACAGCCCATGAAGGAGCAGAAAAAGAAATTTCACTCTGACATCAAAGAAAAAAGGAGGAATTTGAAATATGTAACATAAAATGTGACAAATGACAAGTGTCAGAAAATGAGAAAAACTCATGAAGGCTAATGAAAAAAAATTAATTTCATGAGACACAACATAAGAAGAATAAAAAGTGGCACAGTCAAAACAATGGAACAGGTAAATGGTCTAATTCCTTTAGCTGGAAATTTCTTTAGCTGGAAATTTCTTTAGCAGTGAAATTATGGTAGTAAAGGAGAAAAGAGATAAGAGTCATGAGTATTTGTAGAGATTTCTCAGGCAACTGGGAAAAGAAGTTAAGGAAGTAAACAGTGTGTATAACTTAAGGGTATGAGTGGGTGGATAAGAGTTTGTGATGCCAGAGAAAAAAATCAACATGGGTGAGAAGAATGAACTGCTTGAATCAATGAAAATCAGAAAGGAATATAATAATTACATAGCAGAAAAGTGTAATTTCTGACCATCCTGTGTATGAAGAATCCACAGAATAAGATCTCCTAATGAAAGAGATCTAAATGGTAGATATGAGGCTTAAAAAATGAGTCAGACAATTAGAAATGGCAATGACAGCTAGGATAGAGAAAAAAAGGCAAAGGCCTGGACAAATGTTAACAGGTGGAGGATAAAGGCAGAGAGAGGAGAGGGATGGGCTAAGAGGGGAAGATCTGAATTACAAGAAGCTAATATAAATGAACTGGTGGAGAATGGAGATAAAACACTGAGACACTAACAGGTGTTAAGCAAGTGATGGAACTCATAAGCCACTTACTTATAACACAGTAAATGAACTGTAAACAAGTAAACAAGTCAACCTAACAATTATGGAAATTATCATATAGGAGAGTAACGAGTTGCACATGCTAATACACATCAATAAGGGGGACAAAACGGAGACCTGGTTTGGTCAGTCAATGATGGTCAAAAGAGCTGGACAGCAGCTGGCCACTAGATGCTGGTGCTGCCACTGTAATCTAACTAGTGAAATCAAGGACCTAGATCAATTTACCATGATGAGTTTTGTGTTCTATGTATGACCAGTCCATACCAAAGGCTTATAGACCACATTTGAAGGAAGAGTAAGTACTGAATATGTGCACAATGTAGTCAACTTCAATATAGACTGGGAAAACCTCAGGAGATATTTCAATAAGGTGATAGCTGAATTACAGAGGGCAGATTTAACCATAAAACCTTAGATGGATGCTACGCATAAGGTAACTGAATATCACAGGCATGCATCAAGACAAAAAACTCAAATAAAAGAATCACTGCCATTTGAAAAGCTGAAAATTAATCTTAAAAAAGCACAGTTAGATACTATAATCTATGTACATATAATTTTTTTACAAGCTTAAAGAGAACTACATCAACAAAGACAGCAATCCAGTCCCAGGGATAAGACTATACATATCCTTCCACTTAGTATACCATTTTTTGAAAAAATGCAGATTTTACGTTATCTTTGATCATAGACATGTACCATGAACAACTGTTATCTGTAGAGCAAGTACATTACCCCCAAAAATGTATACGTAAAAATGAGTTAAAGAAAACTTTTTTCAGGGACCGAAACAAGAGTAGTCAGGGTCTATTTTGCTAAGTATACATAATGGTTTATTTTACTTGTTATATTAATAAACAATCTTATCTGTAGTATGTTTTATTATTTTATGTTTTAAATACATCTTCTAAAATAGAAACACTACAGAAGAATCATCAGCCTGATGTAATAGTTCTACTACTATTACATGCTAATATTTTTAAACTTATTACATTTCTCCAAAAATTGTAGTAGTATTACTAATTAACATCTATTTTTTTTTACCTGTCTTTGGTTTCTAAATGTCTGACTTTGAAAGCATGTCTACAGTGGAAGTCAATTTGTAACTAAATTCTAACTGACTCCATCATTCTGCATAATAAAAATCCTTACATTAGACAAATTCCTATTTTACTTTGACCAAAACCTGTAAATATATTACTGAGATTATTTAATACATTTAGTAAATCACTATTAGGTGTCGTATGGAACTTAACTAAAATCACAATGTATTTTTTTTCCGAAAGAAAAATCTCTATCTCTGTTTACAATAAAATGGTCAGATTTTTGTGGAGCTTTTCCTTGCATTTCTCTAAAATTTTCTTTTAAACAAATAATCTGATTATATTATTTCTAAAAGCATTATGACTAAAATTTGGAGATTACTAATGTTTTGGAGATGATTAATCAATACTTATAATAAATCATAACAGCAGTTTCAAAGACAAACAATCAGCCTTGAATATAGATGAAGAAACAATTTTCACTGGATCATTTTTCAAATCATTCAAGAGCATACAAACCAAACATTTCCAAATAACTTCCTAATTTAAAAACCTGCTACAAAACATAAAAGTAAACTCCTTTCTAAGTAGTCTCAGTCAATAATAGAACTAATTGAAAACCTATAAATTTAGTACAGTGCAGCATGTAGTCTCTATCTTGCTCTGTCTATACATCAATAGGTCATTCTCAGTTAATTAAGTGAAGGCATAATCAGCTTAATTTATGTAGTTCAGGGCAGTTAATGATATCTTAGTACAGTACCTGAACTATGTAACTAGCCTGCCCATATAACTAGCTGGATATACCCAGTTCATTCTGTAGCTCTTCAGTTTCAGCTCTCCATTTTTTATCTCAGATTTCCTTTTATACAGCTTAATCTGGAGCTGCTAAATCGAATTTCTTGAGGATAGCAATGAAATAAAACCAGAACAAATTAAAAGGTTAACAAAGCAATGTGATCAGATTGTAGTCTGTGATAGCATTTTATGCAGCAAAATCATAAAAGAAGGTGACAGTTCCAAATTAACTACTTGTATAATTTAAGTATGCAATATTTTTAAAAAGAATAATAAAATTACACAACAGAATCATAACAGACAAAGAGATAGAACTAAAAAAGATATTATTTTTCCCATAAATTAAGTAGTTTTTAAATGGCCATAAAAAGCAAGAATTTTACAGAACACACAACATACAGTGTGGTACCTCAATAAGATCATCTTTTTCCTGTGGCAGAGAAAGTGTTTTCTTCTGCTGTCTCTGTAGCTCATCTCCTTTCTGAAGCTGCAAGTTTACACACAAAGACAAACCACAATGTCAACCAATTGGACCTCACTTAAGGAACCAAAGAGATCGATTTGTAAAGCAAAGGATGAACAGGACCCCATTTCTGAAGTACGTTGCTCAAACTGCTCTTTCATTAAAAGATGCTCTCTCTTATTGATTTTGGCTTAAATAATGAGAAAGCTTATCCAAAAATCTTTAGCATTTGGGCTCAAGTTAAGGAAATCAATAGAGTCATTTCCCATTTGAACTGCATATGTGAGTTTTATGTACGAGAGACAAGACAAAGCCCAAATCGGATAAATCGATAACATTGTCAATAGAACATGAAGCTGACAAATGGCATTTTTAAGCAATTAAAGAGAGCTGTAAACATACAGAAGCTAATCAATTACAGTGTTCTGATATTAACAGTTTTTAATTTATACAACCATTGTTAGCAATCCCAGGGAATGAAGATAACAATACATGTTTCTTGCTACTGTTTAGGGATTATGACAGTAAAGCTTTTCTTGTCTTGATATGTAAATCTTCCCATGGTCATTGAAAGAAAAAGAAATATTTAATTAATCATTGAACTCCTATACTATTATGTCTACATGTGTAACAAACATAGTGGATACAGACCTTCACTGTATTTTTTCACCCAATCTGGAGTACCAGGACAACTGAAGTATTCAAGTATCCAGTAGTACGAAGAATAGAATCAGAAATGTTGATTACAAGGGATGTCTTACAGGTCACCTAGTTGAACATCTCACTCAAAGTTGGACCACAGCCGGTACTAGACTGGGTCAACTTTGCTTTATCTTGAAAAGTTTGAAAAAACCACAAGGATGGAGATTCCATCACTAAACTTCATAATGTGTTCCAGTGCTGCATGACCCTCCTGGTGAAGCACTTTTTCTAATGTCAGTGCCGAAGCTGAAACTTGTGGCTTTTGCTTTTTAATATACCAAGGGCCAGGACTAAGGGGAGTTAGCTCCATCATCCTTGTAGTGTACCTTCAAATTTCACTGACTGCTATTAAGGGTCTCTTTAGCCTTTCTTTCACCAGCAATCTCTAATTGAAGACCATGTGCTTCAGACCTCTAACCATGTTATACTCTCTTGTTAGCCCTCTTTTAGACTCTTTCTAGTCTTTTAAAATCCTTCTTGAACTGTAAGGCAGACATAAACAAATTACTCCAGTTAGTCCCCTCAGTGTGAAGTACAAAGGAACAGTAATTTCCTCTGATATGTTTTCCGCGTTCCTTCCAATGCAGGCCAGTTTGTCTTATATGTGGTGACACCATTCCATTAATACTCAACTTGTAAGCCACTATAACCTCTCCTTTCTGCAGAGTTGCTACTAAGTCAGTTCCCAGGCTGTACTGATGCACTCACTTGGTTGTTTTGTCTGAATTGCTGACTTTTGCACTTCTAAACTTTTTAGGTGTCTGTTGGTTCAGTCCCTGTGTTTCTCAGTGTTTTTCTGTAGAGTGTCACTTAACATTCTCTTCCCAATTTTGCCTCATGTAAATTTGCTAAGGGTCCATTCTGTCTTGTCATCTTGAAATATTTTCATCCTAGATAAAAATAATTGAATGAGAAAGACAACAGTATTGACTTGTTGTCATCTGGAAGCTGACCCATTAATTACTATCTTGAGAGTCCAAATGCCTGCTCATTTTTCAATCCATCTAGCAACCCATTCATCCAACACATTCATCTCAGCTTATAAATAAAAATACAATTGAAAAGGATGTTAAAATCTTACTTAAGTTGAGTTATATTACATGGGCCTGTGTAACCAATCCTTCCAACATAGAAGGCAATCAGATTAGTCAATTGTGATGTTCATTCTGACTGCTCAGGTGCAACAAGTGCATCTTCATATCTCAATACGTGCAACCCTCTCTCAAAACATAATTTTCAAAATGCAAAGGCACATATTATGCTTGAAAATAACAGCTGAAAAATATTGAGCCTTGTCAGTAATAAAAGCAGCATTGAAAATACCTTGAAATGACTACATATACACTAACAAGAAGCTGACCCTTACACTTTGCTACTTGTAAACAACCTTCTTTTCTTTTTCCCACTCACATGGGACTCTTCGATTGCTTATTCTCACCATCCAGATATATAAGGTAAGAGAATTCCTATACCCCTTCATCTAAAGAAGTGTACATCTAGGAACAACAAAAAGACCTTTGAGAGACAGAAGCAATCAGAAATCTTGTACTTTTTGACTCAAAATTTCAAAGATTATTCTTATCCTTTGTCTTTCTTCTGTTAATAGTCTAAATGTACATTCACACTTTAAATAACTCCAAGAAAATGCTTTATTGACTATCTAGCAAAGAAATGCCGGAGCACTTAAAGCAATCAGCAAATGTAGAACCATATTTACCTTCAGCAATCCAAAAGAATATTGCAGTCAGTGATGGTATGACAGAAAATGAAGAAAAAGTTTCCCAACTATGTCAGTCTGACTTCTATGGATTATGCCCCTATTCTGTTAGGGGAATTCATTTCAGCAGTTTCAGAGCAAAACAACTCAGGGCCCTATCCATTTGGACAGTCATTGAGTTGAAATGGCTAAATTTGTAAAAGAAAGCACAGGAAATGTTCAGATGTCTGTGGACCTTTGAATATCAATAATGTTCTTGACTTTGAACATATGAAAGATAAATGCTTATTTCTGAGGCCTCAAGCTTAGGAATGAAAACTGGAAACTTAATTTAAAGATTACAGACAAAAGGAGATAAATTATGGCTACATTAGAAGAGAGGTTCTCCCTCTGAAAAACATGCAAGAAAGGTCATCCTTCATATAGTTGAATTTGTCCACCTCTTAGCACCAGTAATGAAAAGAAGAAAGCAATTTTTATAGGTACAGGAAGAAATAAACAGGTACTTAATATTTTAAAAGGAGAATCATTAATATATATAGTTCTAATTTTAAGTCTCACCAGACCATAGGTTCTCTAAAGGCAGACAATTTAAAAATACTGCTCAAGAAATATCTGCACTGCAGGATGACAAAAAAAGCAGAAGCTACCAGTTTAGGCAGATGAATCAAAATTTTGGGAACCTAAAGGGAAAAGGAAAGACAGAAAAGCACACAAAGCTATGAACAGATCTGTGAGACACTTGTTTCTATTTTTGTTAGCATAGAAGACACTGTTCTTATCTATCCTGTGAGAAGATACCTTTTAATTGTAGTTGTTGGCCAAGAGCTCAATTGAGCAACCTCATTTGGCAGAACGGAACTTTTCTACAAGGAAACAAGCTCCAATGACTACTGACTCTCCAGTCACTTCAACAAACTCTGTGACCTGTAAAGACATATAATTTGAATTTGAATATTCAAATTCACACCTAGATGCTTGGGCCTCTATAGAAGTGTAAGTGTGTATGTACTATGTGTATGTGTATGTACTATGCTGCTAATCTCCTAATTCACCACCTTTTTGTATAAGCATCAAGAAACACCTTTATAAATCAGTGTTTGTGGGTAATTACATTTTTGAAAACTAGCTGCATAAAAAGAAGACTAAGCTGAAAGACCTGAAATTGTAGTGATCCCTGCTGAAAACAATGGAATATATGAAAAAAAAATATTTTGGAAACCAAGACCCACAGAACAGTTTTCAATATTTCATGGGGTTTTGTTGCTTGCGGTTTTTTTCTGTATTCTTTATCCTTTCACTTTTCTCTTTACTGTTTTTATATTCTAAGTTTTTTATTCTGTATTAGTTTCTAGTCTCAATAGATAGAATTTTGGCTAGTTTTAACATCTTGATCATGAACTGGAAGATACAAAGTTTTCGTTTTCTTACATTCAAAATGGTTTGCTAAATTAATTCTCATCTGATACAAAAATCTGGCCACTGAAGAAGACTCTTGAGAGTTGTATAGGTTTAAATATTCCAAAGGTTTAGAAACAGAAATCTTCTATGGCCTCTACCAAGAACAGAAGTAAAGTGTATAATGCAGTCTCATTTCTTATAAAAACCAGAAAGATTTCTACATGACATTCTGAACATACCTTCAATGGGTAACACCAAAATTAAAGCAGTTTTCTAGCCTTTATTGATGGAATGGAAATTTAACACCTATACCTACAGCTAGAAAAACAATGGCAAACAAAAAAAAAGAAATTGAGCTACTCCTGAATTTTCTTGCCCAAAGAGCAGAGCAGACCCTTTGCCATCCTGCAAATGAAAAGACTGTGGTCTTACCTGAGGATCAAAATATTTTATTGGCTAAATTTCAAAGTGGCTTATATAAATGTCTTTATAGATATTTATCTAGCCTAAAATGTGCTTAAGGTGATTGTATTTCATGCTGCTCTCTGTAAGTTGGAAAAATATCAAACACTGAACTGATATGACATGCAATCAACAAGGAAATAGCATAGCCTAGGGTATAGCAACTTACTGAAGGCACATGACCATCTTGTACATGACAATGAACAAAACAGGTGGCAAAACAAAGCCCTAAAGAGAAGCATAGAAAATACTATGTCTCTTTATTTATCATTATATTCTGGGATTCCTCTAAAAACAAACAAACAAACAAACAAAACAAAAAAACCCACACCACTGAAATCATTTGACAGCTTTTTTTTTCCCATTAGAACCTAAAAAATGCAATTTACCAGAATATAAAAGCCCATGGATGATACTGATTTTCTGTGTTTTTCTAACAGCTGTAAAATATGAAAAACTTAAAGATGATCAGCCATCCATGCAAATCCCACCGCACGCATGACACAATCAAATTGTGGAAAGATGGACTGAAAAGTTATGAAGTTCTTGTGAATGTATCCTTCCTCACTATACTTTCATAGGGTAGATAACGTCTACGTTAAGTAAAATTACTAATGTAAAGAAATACTGGTATTTTTAAAGTTCATGACTGTCATCTTCTTCTAGTTTTCCAGGGAGGTTGTTTCCTTGGTCCAATGAATGTCTTCTTTCAATCTGTCTTCACCTCATTACCAGCTATTTTCTACTATCTGAAAATGAACTGAGAGTAAAACCATAATCATTGACTGCTGTAGTTGGCTTCAGTTAGCACAGTTAGCTTTTCCTTGAGTCTTCTCAGGACAGAGAATGAAAAAAAAAATGAGTTTACAGAAAACAGTACAAAATTAGGAGTTTACAAAATCACGTGGGTACACTACATTGCAAATCCAGACAACTCCTGGAGAAAACACCAATCCTCTTAAGGCAGAGAAGCAGAATTCACTTCTGTCACAGAGCTTGGTTTTCTTGAGCGTGTAATTAATTTTTCTCCTATATCAATAAACTCCTGACAAGATTTCCCTAGATGAGAGGGCTCTTGTGCAACAGTATCCATGAATACCTGAAAAGCACTCAGATAAATATATGAAGTTTATGTTCCACTTTTTTTTAAACTTAGTGCACAGTAAATCAGTTCTTAGTCCTTACATTAACATTTTTTTAATGGTAGAATTTCATAGAAGTTTACATCAATATGCAATTTTCTATCCCTGTTCTAGCATTTGAAAGACTAAGTGTGATTAATCTTGACAGAAAATTATTGAAGACAACAGATTAGGACAGGAATTCCTGCTCCAATTGAAATTACTCACTCTCAGAGAAACCCTGAACTTTTTTTTATTCTTATCTGAGAAGCTGACAAAAAACATTTTTGATTTCTTTAGGTTTCTTGGTTGCCATATTTAAAACAAAAAAAAAGTATTATATTGTATAGTTTGCAATATAAGTTAATTGGCTCAGAAAAACTGCATTCTCCAAAACACCTTGCCAGTTTAAGTCTGATGCTATAACTGTTAACAAAGGAAGAACTCCAGGGATTGGGAGTTGAACACTTATATGCTGCTGTTAAATGAAGCAGTTGTGCTTGAGAAGCCTCTGCCTGAATGCAATTCATTTTACAACATCATCTGGGGACAAAGTGTAGTTTAAGATGTAAACTGAAATGGCATCTTCTGGTAATGCAGAAATATCCCTCAGCTGACTTGAAGAAAGAAATGAAGCTGAAAACTGGACCACTATAAAACAATTGGTCATTTTGGCTTTGGTAGTATTAGTCTTACAAATGTTTCTTAGGCCGAAAGTCATTCTGTGTATAGGAACGCAGTAAGCATGTCACTCTGGGTAATCATATCTGTACTGCTTAAGGACACAGTGCCAGCAAGGTAATTCAAATAAACTTTTCCTAAGAAAGGAACATGGATTCAAAAGATGAGCCAAAAATCCAAGTGTTCTTTCCAAAATCTATATATTCTTGAATGTACGGGTGTGCAGATTGAAACAACTATTTAAGAAAAAGAAAATAGCTCAAGTATGTGAGATGTATTCTATCCTAGAGTATCCTAGAATTTAACCTCTACTGTTCATCTATACATTTACATTCTCTGCATTTGCTGCTAATATAGGAATGAACCCCAAAATACAAACCAGCTCAACTAATATGAGATAAAATGGGACCTAGTTTACATATTAGTTTCAATATTTGTAACTGGACCAGCCCACAAAATGACTCCTGATCCATTACTGTTTAATGCTAAACTTCAAGAAACCTTTGTTTATAAGCCGGGAAAAGATGTCAAATGAACCAATAACCATAAGTTACGAATAGAAATATTAATAGTATAAAACCTTCCCATTCTTTGATTCTGTAATAAAAGAGCAGAAGTCAAAAGAGTAAGACACAAACATGAGGACTCTTGTATTTTTGTATGACAGAAAAAATCACTTTTTCTTTTTGGTAGTAGGCAAGCTAGAAAGCATGAAAAAATATCACAATTAAAGGGACTAAATAAATAAATAAACCCTTTAAAAGTTCAATTCTCTACATCCAGGATTTTCAATCTTTGCTTTTGATGAACTTCTGAAAAACTGTTTTTCCTCATTTTTATGAACACATACAAGGGGAGCTGGGAACGTCAGTATAAAGGTGAACACTAAGGGCAACCAAAGCATTTGGTGTAGAAATAATGTGATGAAAAGCAAGGTCACCTGGGTTGCAAAGTAAGTACTAATAAAAACAAGAGGTGGAAGACAAGGCCAGAAAAAGAACTAGCATTCGCAGACTTAGAGACAGATATGTAAACACAGAGATTCAGGGGAAATTTAGAAGGTAAAAGATACACCTAAGGAAAACTGACATTTAGGGTGAGAGGGTGTGGAAAAGTTGGACAAAGAAGGGATAGAAATTAAATAGAAAGTGACAGCAGAAAAGGTACTTGAATGGGGATATAATATATTGCAGCCATTCAAGAGTCTATGGAAAGCTTCATTTTCTTTAGGTTTCAGTTTGCTTCCTTTCTCCTTCTACTCTAAACTCGTCTCTTCTTTACATCCACACTGGACAGACAAGCCCCTTCTCTACTGTTTTTTTTTCAAACTACTTACCTTTCTAAATTTATGGCTTCAAACTACTTCCATCTGAAGTTTGCTTTTACAAATTATGCTTTTGTAATTAGGTACTTGTATGTAGTTTATTCCTTACTTGATTCAGCTCCTGTAGCCAGGAACTTAAGCAGAAGGACCCTTTGCATATTACTGTTATTATGTCATGTGACAAGGTTGTGCTAACAGAGGAACATTGGAAAGATGTTTCTTCCTCAATCTATGCCAGCAAAACAACACGTTACTCCCCTATGCACTGTCATCTTCGGAAATGCAAAATCTACATTTAAATAGACCTTGAGTTTATATCTAGAACTAAATACTTTTCTAGAATTTTGTCTTCTCAACCAAGCAACCTTCCTCCCACAAAACATTCAACTAGTTCATGTATTTCAATAATTTATTGCACAAATTACTCTTATTTTAGGTATAGTCAATCTTTTTCTATTAAAAATGTTTCAGAGGCTTAACCTTTTAGGCATTTTAAACTGCATCAAGTTAATACTTCACATATAGGTCATCAGTGATTAAGAATATTCTACAAATTCATTAATATCTAAAATAAGTGTTTGTTTATACAGTACCAAAAAGGCATCAGTGCTGCTCAATTATTTCCTTCATAGCCTTACAAATTAAAATTACTTTTTGCAGAATTCAATGTCCATGTCTTAGAATTTTTAAAAACAATTCTTTCAAGGACTTGGTTAGCTGCACCACCTAAATGCGAGCTTGGCAGCAGTGTTGGTGTTACCTCAGGGGAGCAGGATTGGGGAACACGGAGAAGATGGGTGGAACTTTAGGAGTATCCAGGGTAGGGGACCAATGGGAGCTCACTCTGCACTGCGGAACCCACCAGCCAATCAGTGAGAGATGAG